TAAGGCATGGATTCAGCTCAGCGTGAGAGCTTGATTGAAGCCAGTTGGCTGTGCCAACAGGACAGGGATGGCTCAAGAGAGGCTTCGTACAAAGTATAGAAACTCTAAACAGATTTCTTCAGTCTTCCCTCCATCCATGCTCAACTGGAGCCAGCAAAGTCAGAAAAATGGCAATATTTTACCGAAGGGAGAACTTATCCCACAGCTCTGCCATCCCCCTGGAAAGCCCACAGAAGGGAAAGGAGAGAGTTGCACAGAAAACTGAAGGAGGCAGACGCAGACTTTTGCTCTGAGCTTGCCTCTCCGAGACGGAGGGTTTGAGGTTTTCCAGCGAGCGCAAGGAGCAAATCCTCTAAGCCCTGTGATTTCTCTGGCATGTGCCCTCGCCGTGGGCACCTTGAGTACGTGCACCCAGAGCACTTGCACAGAGATCTGGCCCTGGGGGAGCTGTGCCTGCAGCTGGGGCCCCGCCAGCTGAGGGGGAGGACGGAGGGAGCGAGCGCTGGATGGCCACACCAAATGTCTGCTCTGCTCGTGTGCAGTCTCTCTGGCCAGCAGCCTTTTGGCTCACCCCACCTGCCTTTTTTCCCTTTTTTTTTCCTTTCCCCCAGCTGAACTGGCGGAGAGGAGGCTGCAGCTCCTTTCTGTCCCTGCAGCTTTCCTGTCTGGCTGACGCTGTGCCCTGGACACAGATGTCTGCTTAAATATGGATCCTGTGAGGCACAAGTTATGCTTGCGGGAAGAGTGTGGAGCAGGAAGACGCTATGATCCGTAGGTGGGCTGTGAATTGCTGCCGTCCTGTACAAGGATGAAATAACAATAACAACTAACAACATACTGCCTTAAACCATGGTTGTTTAGAAAGAAGATTTCAGTACATTTTCACAATTAATTATTCGTCCAAGCAGCTACTTCATTTAAAAGCGTCCTGTCCACATAGCTCACCCTCTGTGAGCTCATTAATGCTGGAGCTGTGTCACCTCAGGCTAACCTGGTGGCTGTTGATTGAGTCCCGTGACAGCTGTTTGCAGAGGTTTGCCCTGCTCCCTGCCAGCAGCCTGCCTTCCTCCTCCAAATTGCCTCTCGGTTCCAGGCAGGGTTCAAATTTCTGAGTGAACGCTATCCTGGGCAAGGTGGTTGGATTTCTAAGAGTAATAGGTAAGGCATGACAGATAACATCCTGCACACCCCCAGGAGTGCTCCTGCATGTTACAGCTTGAAGGTGTTGGTCAAGGTGAGCCCTGGACTGAGCCCATAAACATTTAAGTCCCAGAACAAATGTTTGGGATTGTACAAACATGTTAATGACCTGCAGTTAATTGGCAAGCAATTACCTTGAAGTAAAAATAGCTTTCCCATTGCTGAGCGGTCACGAGAGTGTGTGTCCCCCTATGAACACTGAAATTTTTGGCCAAGGAGCCTTGTCCAACTTGCCTTCTGGATCCTGGCAGGTTTGTGATCAAAAGTTTGTTGTCCCCATCACCAACTGCTGTTTGTTTGTGGTAGAGACTCAGCAAACAGAGCTGTCTGCCAAAGCTAATTTTCATGCTGCCCCTTAATAAAGTTCTGCAGTTCATAATGCAGTGAAAAAGTAAGATCATATTGACTGACAAAAGCGTGCGGTTCAGCAAGGGAAAGTACCTGCTGTGTGCACTATAAAGGCACTATCAGTGAGAGCTAGGTAAGTATTTTTAACCTAAAGACAGCTTGGCAGGCTATAATATGTCTCCTACTGAATTTTGAATCTTTCTGTTTCTTTGCATGACAAAAATACACAGCTGGACTGATTTCATTAGATGTGTATTGCAGCTGACAACCAAGAGGCCTGGACCTAACATAGCTGTTGGGGCTCCAAGTGGGACCTGTGGGCAGGTGTTTGACCTGTTGCCTCCCCTCCACCTACAAAAGTCAGCAGCATTTTTTTTATAAGGTCCATTCAAACCATCAGCTTCTCTTAGAACTTGGCTCAAATCCTTGCTTGATCCTCCACAGCACTTTGGGGGGGGGGAAAAAAGGCCCCGATTTTCCAGATCTGTAACTAAACCACACCTGGGTTTCTTTCCTGGAAGAGATTATCACAGCATTTCTAGGAAGGCAAAAACTGGGCACACGTGAATGAGCGGAGTCTGCTGCTGAAGTCCCGTGACTCTGGGGCTCGTGGTGGCCGAGATGAGCTGGCATGTGGTGCAGGGTGGTTCCAGCTGAAGAGCCACATCTGCTCTGTGTGCTCCACGGCGTGGTGTGGCAGCGGGTGAGGTGCTGGCTGCCTGCTCCACCCCTGTCTCCAGCTGCTCCCGGCCATCCCTCTCTCCAGGCAGTGTAATGTCATGCTGGGGAGGAGGGAAGCAGGTGACACTGGGAGCCTCAGGAGAGCCAGGGTGTCTGGCATCTGCACAGATTCCTCTGGATGCTGCAGTGTGGTGCGGGGTCAGTCAGGAAAAATCTTTCCAAAGCAGCCAGAGGTCTCTGCCTTGTGTCCTGGATGAGTGAGGGAGTGGCAGATGGAAAAAACAAAACTAGCAAAATGCATTTCACAATCCTGGCAGCAGTATTCGGCAAACAGAGGAACCACAATGATGGAGTCTCAGATTGCTCTCCCTGTGCAGCCTGGCTTTAGGAGCTTTGGCATTGTTGTGAGGCTTGACAGGGCTCCTGTTCCCTCCACTGGCTCCTATGGCCTTGCATTCGGTATCTTCAGGTGCTGCAAGCAGGAGGAGCTGTAATGAGTGCAGATACCAGAGCTTTCCAGGAAAAATTCAGGTACAAGTGCAGCTCTGTTCACTGTAGCTGCCTTGAATTAAAGTTCTGTGCCTGTAGTGGCAGACAAATTTGCTGGCAAACATTTTGCAGAAAATAAAAAAAAAAAAATAAAAAAAAAAAAAAAAAAGGCATCAATCCAGAAAGGCTCTGTGCACAAACTAAGCTTAGTATAAATGAATACACCTGTGCTCAACACCAGGCACGTGATGAATGCTCTGCTACATCCTAGCCAAAATAAATTTAAAATAAATATCGGCATGTACTGGTGGAAGATGAATGCTGGTGTTGTAAGCAGGACCGCATGTGGCAGAAACAGGAGCCTCCCGCTCTGCGTGTCAGCTGGGGATATCCACAGGGAGGGTCACGTGTGCTCCTCTCGGGCTCACCAGCAGAGCTGGTGAAAACAGGTTTTGATTTGAATGAGTTATGACCCATTGAAAATGGCATCATGCGTAACCACAGTAAATTGTCATAATGAGATCACGAGGCTCGAGAAGTGAGCGGCGAGCAAAGAGGCCTCGTTCCACCGGCGCCCACGGCTGCCAGCCCGGAGCTGCAAAACGCAACCCAGGGACATGCTCCTGCTCCCTGGGCATCTCTGCTGCTTTAGTGACAAGGACCAGGGGTTGCACAGCCAGACAAAAACTCATTGGAAGTTTTGAGTTAGAAAGAAGAAAAAAAGCTAAAATTCATACAGCTTTGCATTTAGTCTTATCCAGAGCGACAGAGGGGACTGGGCTAACACAAAGAGTGGACAAACATGAATACTGTTAGTGCTGCCGTGCTCACACAGGCTCAGATTGGCTGTTTCTAAATGATGCTGCTGTAGGAGGGGAGGGTTTGGTGATCAGGGCAGAGCAGTGCAGAGGTGAAAGGAAATCCTACTGGAAGAATGATAAAGCTTTGGTGTATCCCAGGCTCACAGCTCTGCCGGACCAGCCCTCCTGGACCCTGCTCAGGCACGGCTGCCCATCTGTAAATGCTGCAGAATCATCACTGCCTTCTCTATTTTCATAGGAAAAATAGAGGCAAAGTCTAAGACTATGACCAGCTTGATGGACTTAAAACTTTACCAAGTACCTGGACAACGTAAGTGGCAGAGCTCCTGCCTTCCAGGTATCTTGTAGAAGGATTTTTGGAAAGAGCTCCTTTCCACGCCTCCCAACACAATGCTGTTTGTGTGGGGCCATTCACAGCTCAGGGGACTGGAAGAAACACACTTCAGGTCATTCTGCTTCTCTTCACAAGTTATCAAGTGCACATGGCCCAGCCACATCCTCCTCCTGCGCCCACCAGGCACAGGGCAGAAGTGCATGCATGTAACGCCCTACCCGCTGCAGGACCTGCTCTGTTCCCCTTGTCCCAGGGCAAAGCAGGCTGCTCTCCATGTGGCTGACACTCCTCCTAGTCGTGCACCCTTCCGTCTCCTCCATCTGTTAAGCTCTGCACACAAATATCTGTGCCCCTGAGCCACGGAGACAATCTGGGCTCGTGCGGATACGCAGCACCTTCCTGACTCATATATCATCTGTTTATAGTGGTTTTGTCATGGATGAATTCATAGCCTGAGTCCATGGATAAAGAAACACCCAGTTCAGTGCTGTTCCATGCCATGCAGGTTAGCCCTTGGCTGTGGAGTTCTGCTTTCATTTATCCAAGATACACAGTCTGGACAGTACATTGAAGCCTAAGCCATTCCCAGGACCCCACATCTCCTATTGTGGGCAGCTGGATCCAGGTCCTTCTGCTCTTCCAGTACAAGTGCTTGAGACTGGTCCAGAAGGCTCTTGTCTTGTTTTCCTGGTGTTGGCTTGCTGACATTGCTGCAAGGACAGCTGAAATAGATGGAGACCAGCCAAGCTGAAGAGACAGAGGTGAAATGTGTCCCTGCATACACTTAAGAGCCAAGCACGGAGAGCACTGAGGCTTTCCTGGTGTACCAGAGGAGTCTTCCCAGTGGGGACATTTCTGCCTGCCAGAGCACAGGTGAATGTGCCAACACTGCCCACACTGCAGTACAGGTGCAGCTCTGGGGAACTCAGATTTTCCATTTGGTACCTTCTCTGTAGCTAAGAAGAAACAGGAATAAAACTGCTTGTTTTAAATACTGAATTTATTAAGCACACTTGCTGTATGTCATCCATTGGGCAGAAGTCCTGAGCTTTCATTCTCTAGGCTCAGCTTAGTAGCCCTGCCTAAACTCCTAACTAACATACCTTATTTTTCTAATACCCGTGTAGGAGAAGAATTTGGACTGGTTCCCTCGGATGAGAGCCATGTCTCTGGTTAGCAATGAAGGTGACAGTGAACAAAATGAAATCAGGAACCTGCAGGAGAGGCTGGAGTCAACCATGAGCCTTGTGAAACAGCTTTCCAGTCAGCTGGCTGAGCTCAAGGAACAGGTAAGTGCCCTGTGTGGGTAGCAAAGTGAGCACGTGTGGGTGAAGGCACTGCTTTCCATCAAGTGGCAGTCAGGACAGCGTTACAAAAGAGACTTTTGTCTCAGGAAGGTTTTATCTTTCCCTCCAGCAAGCTTTCTTGGTAGATACATTGATAAGAGTTTGGAGTGAAATTGTACTCTGTTAGCAACAGCAGAGATCAGGTAAGGAGAAAACTCTGAGGGGGAATTAGTCATGAAATGCTCCTTGTGAGTGTGCAAGGACAGAGGGGAAACTGCAGAAGGGATGAGGGGCTGCATAACCCGGCAGTGAAAGCGATGTAGTGTCAGGAATAGCTGCATACTGATGGGAGCCTGGAGGAAAAAAAGCCTTCTGTGTCCAGCCCTTGGGTTTTTCCCCCACTGAGAACATCAACAGTGCCCTTGTGAAAACAATTTGCAGAGCCTGTTGCTTTGCTTGTGTCACCCTTGTGCTGGTGCCCCTCCTGCAGCTCCCTCTGCTCTCCCGTATGGAGCACAATCTGCCAGCCTCCCTTAAAGCCTCCCTTCCAGCCCTGCTCCTGCCCACACAGCCTGCCTGGTGTGTTTGCTTCACATCCCTTCAGGATCAAAAAGCCAGCTCCTTTTTTGCTACAGGTGCTGGTCACCTCTGCTCATTACAGTTTCAGAAGAGCATCAGTGTGTTTTCTTTATGGGAAGCACTACAGTGGCATCGACAGAGTTATCTAATTATTCCCCTTCAAATCCCTTCTTAAAACTTTTCCCTGTGAAAAAGCCAACAAAGGTGTAGGCTGGATGTGCTGAGACCATTGCTTCATTGTGCTTACCCACAACATCCTGGTGGGATTTTTTTCATCCCCCTCTGGCTGAATCTGTTCTCTCCTGGCTTAAATTTAAACTCTGTGTGGCTGGGGCCATCTTTTAGTTATGTGATTTTACAGCACCAAGTGCAAATGCTGACCCTCTGCAGGGCTACACAACACAATAGCAGCACAAATAATACTCTGTAAGACCTGCTGGGGGATGAGAATAATGTATAAATGAGAATAAAATGTCCATACTTTGCAGGAAACAGATCTCCCACTTCAAAGACATCCCTTACTTGTAATTTTCTATGCTGAAGAAAAGAATTCCACTCCCTGTTGTTTTGCTTATATGTATCTTGCTCTGTGACTGCTAAATAATAGTAAAAAGAAAAAAAAAAAAATCTCAACTCGTCTCTCTCTGCCTTTCCACCTTAGATGACAGAACAAAGGAAGAATAAGCAGAGGCTGGGCTTTCTTGGATCAAACACACCCCATGTGAATCATCACATGCCACCACCCTGATACCACGGGGAGAAGCCGTGACTAGCCTTTCATCAGTATTCCTGCTTTATTATAGAATAAAAAACTGAGATTGAGAGGAGTGAACAGTGCCTATTGTTACAAAGTTAAAAACAACCAAGTGCCAAGATGTTAAGTGGTTTAGCTCTGGGAACAATTTGTAGCTGTTTTTCGTGGTTGAGAAGGACCACAACCTAGAATGTGAGCGATACAAGGCAGCTCGTTTGTATTCCCTGCCTGGCCCGGCTGGGACAGAGCCTTGGCCACCTCCTGGGAGCCCCTTTCTCCCCGGAGCGCCGGGAGAACCGAGCTGAGCAGAAGAAGGAGAGGTGTTTATTGCGGCAAACACGACAGCCTGGCTCAGAATCAATAGGTCACCCCTGGCTCACTTGCCAAATAACAACATTAGTCATATTTGCTTGGCGTTTACTATTTTTTAATTACCGTAAATATGTCAGTCCGTAAGCGGTGATGTTGCTTCAAGTAACTTCTACTAGGAGGGAAAGGGGAGAAACCTCAAAAGACTGGGGGGAGAAAAAAAGAAAAAAGGAAAAAATAGAAAAAGAGTTGCAAAGAGAAACATTAACGCTTTTGAATTTTAGCTGTCACCATGCAATTTCTTATTTATAACATGGAGCACAATGGATCTACAGCTGTGGGAACGTTATGCACATAACACTGACAACATAACTGGAAGTGATTCCTTTCTCCTGGCTTCAGATGTTCTCGATTAATGTGGCCGTGAGGTTTCACATACTGAGGAGTTAAACTGTGTTTTATATTCAAGCTCCAGTGGAGGATTCAGGGGGAAAAATTTATACCTGTAGTTTAAAGCATGTATGGGATTTTATTTCTTAAAAAAAAATCTTAGAAATGTATTTCTGCACAGAACTGTAATGGTGTTGTTACCTTCCATAAACTCATCTTCAGCAAGAGTTGACTTGAGTAAATAAACCCCATATTCTGTCAGCTTTCCTCTGAGCTAAAGATCACGGGTTAATGTTTTTGACTGCCCTTCCTGCTTCCAGGGGTTTGCAGGGAAACCTGGTGGGGAACAGAGGGGCGATATCAGAGAAGCTCCTTACAGCTCTCAGCTGTACAAAAGGCAGCAGCTAAGTCACCAGTGCAGATTTCTGATCTATCCTGTATTTCTTGGGATGGCTTGAAAGAAAAGTTACAGGGTTTCCACAGAGCCCTGGGACACTCCTGTCTTTTAGGAAAAAAATTGAGTGGCACAAATGGGAGTTGTCTTCTCAGTTCACTTTCATTTTCAGTGGGTTTTGGTTACCAGATTGTCTCACATTTGAAAATGTGCCTCTTGTTACATGGACTCACTTTTTAAAGCAAAATATTTTTGCAATGATTTGCCCCTGTAAAATCTTCATTTTGTTATAAAAGCTATTTTGATCAAAGGAAAAAATATTATTGGTGTAAATATTTTCCAGTTTTTTCCTGGAGAAATGCTGTTGTCCCGGTTAAGGCACTATTCAAAACAACAGACCTAGAGCAAAGGGAAAGAAGGGGTATTTAGGGGTATTTCACTCTCTTTATCCCAAATTCAAACCAGTCTTGAAGCTTCTTTTTTGTTGATTTTTTTTTTTTTTTGCGGCAGTGATGTTGCTGAGATAAAAGTAATATATTTTAGCAATATATTTATATCTTCTTCCACTAAAACATTTCCCATTGCCTTCAATTGTGTCCTTCAAAACTAGTGTAGAAATCAGAGGTTTCTGTATTTTACTGGAAGAAAATCTCTTTGTTTGCCTTACTCTAGAGAGCACCCTGGTTGTAAGAGGTGATGGCCAAAGGAGTTGCCCACAAACATAAAGTCAGCAGTAAGTTGGGAGAGACTCACACCCTGTAGCTGTATTAATTCAAATTAATTCATACAGTTAATCAGATCTACTCGCAGCTTCTGTTGCAACAGCAATTTCCTCTTCCTCACACATGTGGTTCTAAAACACAAAGCACAGTTCGATTATAAGATAAGTTAAATTCTCATTATTTATTGGGGAGTGTGTGGTTGGCTAATACTGGAATTGGTTGGCACTTTTCTTGTTTACACTCAGAAAAAGCAGCTGCACTGCTGCACATCAGGGGAGGCTTCTGCTGCTGCAGCTGGAAGAACTTGAGGCTGGGTGGGATTGTGCCCTGAGCTCAGGGCTGCAGTTGGGTGCTGCTGGTGCTCCCTCTGTCTCACACCCCAGACCACATCCCCTCGGGCTCAGGAGCCCATCTCCTGCTCTTCAGAAGGGAGAGTTACAGCATCAGAGTCAGAGAACAGATGCTGGTGTGCCTTGGCCACGGTGCCTTTCTGCTGTTCATAGCTTCCCAGAGAGACCTCCGTAATCAGTAGCAGCAGGTGATGCTACTTGCACAGACTGTGATTATATTTCACTGAGAATTTTGACATCTTTGCTGTTTCTGTCAAAATTTAGGCCCTTACCCTGCTGTCATCCATGTGAACACTCTGTACACTCACACGTGGTAAGACAAACAGGAGGCTCCTTGCATAGAAAATGGTTGCAGGGCCAGACCCCAAGACTTAAAGATTGTGAAACATCCCCATGAATGAGTTTATAACAAAAAAGCATTGTTTTATACATATATTTATGTGTATATGTTTGTTTAATGCAGCTGGGGTAACCTCTTCCTAGACAAGTATCATTTACCTTACCTATTTATAGGAAATGATTGCAAAGAAATTAAAACATCTAAGAGCTTTTAATGCCTTAGAGAGATTTATAATTATAAGCTCCTTGACAGTTAAAATCTACTTAAGTAAATGTGTCCATTGCTGCTGAATGTAACTTTTAATAAAGTGTGTCCTTTTATATATGTCTGTCTCATTCCTGGTGCTAAGGTTGGGGGGAAATGTGTGTTCTGGTTTGGGAAGTGCAGGCTGGTGGTCGTGGGTGGGGGACCAGGCTGTGGGTGTCCACCCATTCCTTCAGCCCTGAATGGATGGAGGCTGAATGCAGCAAGGAAAGCAAGAATTTATTTTATTTCAGGCACAGGTTGCTCTGCCCAGGATGATGGATCCAGGAATGCCACCTTTCCCAGAGGTTGGGTGGCAGCTGGGTGTAGGATTTGCTCGAATGCCCTTTGTTTAGGCCAGGGGAGCCCTGGGTGAAGGTGAGCAGAGGCAGGGACTGTGATGGGTCGAGTGTTTTCAGGTGAGGATGAGCAGGCTCAAGTCAAACAGCCTCGGGGTTTCTGCTGCTGCCTGATCTTTTCCAACCTTTATGATTCCACAGTACTATGATGCAGGCTTTTCTGTGTGAGATTTTTTTGCACTTTTTTCCTTTTTTTTTTTGGTGGTGGGGGGATGTTTTTAGTAGCTCTTTCAGGTAGCACATTGAGAAAGAGACCAAGGGATTTCCCCACTACTGTGGGTGAAAGAATGGAGAAAGACCAATTGTGTCTTTCAACTGAGACAACTTGGGCTGACGAAATCTGTGGTCTTCTGAAAAAAGGAAGAACCCTCCCTTCAAACCTGTGTCTGGTAAACTACACCATACAAGTGCTTTTCTTCTTTGTTCCCCAGCGTTTGTTTTTTTTTACAGATAGCCAATATTAATGAGGAAGAGAATAAGGCCTCTTCTTAGAGAGAAAAAGCCTGCTAATTTATTAGTAAGAAAAATCCTATTAAATAGAGCATGCTGTTTCTCCTGTGCACTTGTTCCACCAGCTTACTGAGGTTTTGAGTAGAATTAACTTTCTTTTCTATTCTCTGGTATGATTTTAAGGCTAAATAGAAAGGAGCTTGTTTATTACTAGGTTTGTTAGATGGTTTTGCAAAAAGGATATCCTAAGAGAAAACGGGGTTTCATGCAGCAATCTTTCAACCTAAGATTACAGCCATACTTAAAAAGCCCCCAAACCAGCATTAAGCTTCTAAGCCCAAAGGGGAGCGGTTTCGAATGCAGGATTGAGAACCTAATGCCAAGGCTTTTCTTTTTCAAAATGTTTGCCCCCAAGGCACATTTTAATTCAAGAGGTGTTTCAGGGAGCAAACCTCTCCCTCCGCATTGGCTCACGCTGTTCTGGCTGCAAATGAATTCTGCTCCTTCCTTTCCACCGTCACTGCTGCTGCTGCTGTGACAAAAGCATCTGCAGGCGAGGATGTTTTCTTTGGAAAGCACGTGCTTGTTTTCTGAGGAAGGGTGCCAAGTTTATTTTTGAGGGGAGAAAGCTGAGATTTAAGGCTGCTAACCTCTCTGCTGCCCTGGGATGCCCGCAGGAGCATGACTCCTGCTTGCAAGTGCCTGTGCTGAACATCCTGAATTTGCACAAAATCATTCAAAATGCCTCAAAAGAAACTCAAGCTGTGGGGGTTTTAAATGTTCAGTGGTGTATTGCTGTCATAAGCTCACGCTTGCCCGCTCTATTTATGTGCTGCACTTTTCCAGGCCGAAGCAGGAAGCTGCAAGGCAGAAGACAAGCAGTCTTTCTAACTTTGCTATTTCAACTTGTTTCTCTTGCTGCAAACAGCCAAGAGTTAACTTTCTTTTTGTACTGGAAGTTTCCTTCTCCATGTCTCCACCTTCGTCTGCTGCCACTCAGGTAAGGTGAGACCTGGGCATGTCCTGGACCATGGGGTTCACTGATAAACCAAAGCAATAAGCTAAAAGGAGCATGATATTCTTATGACTTAATAATTCTGTTTTAACATTGTAGATCGTCAGCATCCAATATCAACATAAGCAGGAGGTTTTCCTAGCAGCCCTTCTTGTGGTAAATCATTGCAGTCTTCATCCCCTGATGGAGCAGCCATGTGGCCTTTGCCAAGGCAATGCACACCCGTGTGCGAGGCTGTGGAGTCAACACAGCCACAAACCCACTGCTTTGTGTGGGCCCTGTCACCATTCAGATTTCATCCAGATGGCAAGAGCAGCATGGGGATCCAGTTACAGCCCAAAGGCTCCAATTCCCTTTATAAGTTACTCCCTTCTGGCCCCCCAAATCTGCAACATTTGTGGGCTTTGTTCCAAATAACACTGAGCTGCCGCAAAAACTGTGGATTTTGGGCACATCCTCAGTGTTTTCTGTAATGGTCTTCAACTGGGATATGTCATTCTGAATTTCACAATCCTCTCCTAGGAGCACTTGCTCCCTTACCAAAGGTATAAGGATATTTTTCCTTGCTTCTTCTTCCCTGCCACACCAGCATTACAGGATGAAACACCCGGGACCTGCGTTAACTCAGTCCCTGCTGTAGAGACCCACAGCTGTGTTCAGCAGAGCACAGGACAACCTTGAAACAGGGTTTAAAAAAATCCATTTTCATTTGTAAGCTGGTGTTGGATGATAGAAGTTGGCTCAGAGTTTGTATTTTTTTTTTCAAGTTAACTTTTGCTGGCTTTGAGGTTGGTTCCGGCCCATTTGCTCCCACCGGGGAGCTGCAATGGCGGCTTCATCTGGCACAAAAGCTTCCACCCCAATTTGATAAAGCCAGCAGAATTTCTGGTGCTTCCAAAAACCCCTCCCAGCCCTTCATCTTTCTGTTCTAGGAGCTGAGGGTGTTTGTGCTATGTGTGACTGCGTGTGGCTTGCGCACATGCAGCCCAGTCGGAGGGTATTCGGGAACACTGGGAAGGGAACAGGGACGGGTTGGCTGCAGCCCTAAACAAGCAAAGCTGGTGTGAGCGCTGCCCTCCCATATGAAACACAAATCCTGCTGCCTGTGGCAGGGCTTTGCTGCTGAAGGAGGAGTCAGCCTCAGTTTGGGAAGGATGTTGAGACGCTTGAGCGCGTCCAGAGGAGGCAACGAGGCTGGTGAGGGGCTGGGAACACAAACCCTGTGAGGAATGGCTGAGGGAGCTGGGGTTGTTTAGCCTGGAGAAAAGGAGACTCAGAGGTGACCTTATCACCTATCACACTCAGGTGAGGATCAGTCTCTTTCTCCAGGCAGCAGCTGACAGAACGAGAGGACACAGTCTGAAGCTGCGTAAAAGGAAAAATAGGTTGGATATTAGGCAAAAGTTTTTTACAGAAAGGGTGATAAAATACTGGTATACTTTGCCCAAGGAGGTGGTGGAGTCACCATCCCTGGATGTGTTTGAAAAAAGACTGGATGTGGCATTTGGTGCCATGGTCTAGTTGAGGTGTTAGGGCTGGGTTGGACTTGATCTTGAAGGTCTCTTACAGCCTAGCCATTGTGTTGAATTCTGTCAGGAGAGGAGATTTTGTTCCCTGGAGCAGTCATGACTCTTCCTATGCAGGTGTAAACATCTGTCCAGGTTCCTGGTTGTCAGCTGGGATGGGGGAAGATGATAGCAGGGTATTGTGCACCTGGCCCCAGACTGTGAGAGTTGTAAATGTGATGTGTTATAGCACAGGGAAAGAAAGGGAAGGAAGAAAGTTCAAGGGAAGATCTCAAGGGTACAATAAAATGTTGTCAGGGATGGTGATTTTACTGGTGGGATTTATAAAATTTTGCTTTTGAGTTACTGTGAAGTATCAGTGTTACCAGAAGTTGGCTGTCCATGCCTTTGTCTATCTTGAGTGTCTTTTTCAGAAGAGAGGATTCACTGGTCCACTGAAATCTCCACTGCGTAGGGTCCTCGGTCTATGAAATCAGGGGTTTTTCGCAAGTTTGTCCACAGCACCTCACTTAGAATGAGGGCTCTCTTACACGGCTAGCAGAAACCTAAATAAATACAGAAATATAAACCGAGCTGGAAATTTACTGAGCACAAGCTGTCTTGCAAAATTGCCTGTGTTTCCTGGCTCTGGATGGGATGGAAATACCACAAAACTCGCTTCTCTCATAGTAATGTGATACTTCTGCTTCCGGGCTCAGCACAAAGCAGGAGGTGGAAGCGCGTTCAAGAGAGGAAAAAGAAAAGCAAAAGCAAATTATAATCAAGCTAGTTTTTAACATGGTAAAATCAAACTCTTAATTAGAATTCTCAAAGTGCCCCCTGTGATCATTTACTCAAACATCTTGTGTAGTGCAGGGCGTAGAGTTTTATCCATCTGCTCTTCTTGTGGCACAGAGCTGGAAAAGGGAGCTCACCTGGCCTGGGAGTCTCCCTGGGAAGAAGACATGGGGTGTATCTGCCAGCTGGTTCTCATCTGACTCCTCTCCAGCCCAAGTGCTGCATCCTGGCCAAGCAAACCTGGTTCCCCACGGGCCATGTTGGTTCCCATTTCTCCAGGAGAGGGAAATCCAGTCTAATGCAATCTTGGGATGCAAAGCTTGCTCTGCAGCACAGGCATTGTAATAATAGCCCACATGTCTCAGCACATGGCCTTGGGTGGTGGCTGGGGCATTTGGGCCACCGAGCCTGTGGAGGCAGAGCCATGTCCATCCCACTCCAGGTCATCACCTCCAAGGCAAGGAGCACAAATGTGAAGTTGTCTCATGGGCTGAATGTGGTTCTTCTGTACTCACACCAAACTGAGGCAGGTATGGTGCTGCTAGATCACCTCTTTTTTCCTGCAGAAGCCTTTTACTTTGACTTGTTTTAGCACTGAGGGCTCCCTTTCTGATGTCCTCCCCTCAACCAGAGGATCACAGATACAGTTTCTCCAGGCAAGTGACAAGTTATGGGGTCCCTTTAATTTTCCCCATCTGGCCAAGTATTTGGAGGCAGAAGTTATGTAAGCTAAGGTGTCAGGGAAGGAAACAAAGCTGGGACAGTGTGATATTGCTGTGGCAGATAATGCCCATGGTGTGTGAGCAGCCTAAGGAGAAGGAATTTAGGGCACTGCACAGATCCAGCCTCCAGCACAGCACCTTCCTCAGGGTGACACAGGGACATTGATCCAACTTGCCTTTGTCATTGCTCCCCCCTCAAAAGAGAGGAGTGAAGGTCTGTGTCCTCAGCACT